ACATGACCGGGACACCATCAAAACATGACCGGGACACCATCAAAACAGGACCGGGACACCATCACAACATGACTGGGTCACAATCAAAACATGATCGGGACACCATCAAAACATGACCGGGACACCAGCATCACATGACCCGGACGCCATCAAAACATGACCGGGACACCATCCACCCACCAGCTCTGACGGTGACCCGACGGCGCCCGTCCGCCTATTAGTTTTGCAAGACCCCATAGCATGGCTATTGGGGAACAACCCAAACATGGCGGCCACACGAATGCATTTCTCAGGTCCGTTTAGCAATCCTCTAAAACCAAACCTACAGTATGGCTGGAGGTCCAGCCCTGATGAGACGAGGATTTCGTTGGTGTGCTGCTTTTACACCCAAAGAGGAGGATTCTAGTCGAGCCATCGTTTCTTGAGAATTATCCAATGTCCTGCTGTGCGAGAAGAAGAGGAGAACTACCAAAGATATCATAACATTGGTGGCTAGTAGATGAGTTGTCCAGCAAGCTTGCTTTCTGGCGTTTTTCATTGGAATGCTGGGCTGAGGTTCGGCTCAATCCACGCACATTCCTAATTCTTAGTCTTAATTTGAAGGCCTGCCAGGCCTGCCATGGTTCGCAACGGCGCATGGACTTGGACTGAGTTGAAGTTTGCAATCCTTGGGCAAGCCTGCGCCAAGAGGAACCCATCACGCTGGAGCAAGAGTATGAACCTGAAAGACTTGATGAAAGACATCCAGAAATGCATCAGGCAGAGTCCTCGGCGGGTCACCATTGTTTTTGATGGGAACACGGAAGAAATTTATAACAACCAAGCAGAGGCAGTCCAACAGTTGCGGGATTTGATCGGACAAGTTGATGTCGTGAAGCCTCGACCTGGAAGGCTTTCCTGGGTGAAGCCCGAGCTGGAAGCGGAAGCAGTGAGGAGCAGCTCAGTGCTTTATGACCGCACAAAGTCACCCACCTTCCACGTGAGCGACCTCCACACGCTCACAGTGAGGAATGACAAAGTCAATTCTGAGATGCAGTTTGGGCTCAGACTTTGTCTTCTGGATGTCCCTGCAGTCTTTGTGGCATTTCGTGGCACCGTAAATTGTTCTGACTGGGTCTCAAACCTAAAGTTTTCTTTGGGAAAGCCTAAGGACGGTGAGCCCTACAAGGCCTTCAAGCCCTTTTCAAACATTCACATGGGCTTTTGGAATGACCTTGTGCAAAATATGGACACAATAGGAGACCATCTCTACAAGTTTGCAGAGAAGCACCAGCTGCTTAAGAAAGAGTGGACACTGGTCTTGACAGGCCACTCTCGCGGCGGAGCATTAGCTCAGCTCTTGTTTATGTTTTTGGAGTCGAGCCGAGAACGGCAATCTTGGCCCCTAAAGCTTGCTTGGCTTCAAAATGAAATTGTCAATATGTATTGCATGAGTTTTGCGTCTCCATCCGTTGTGTGCTGGACTGGAGCCACACCTGAGCATGTGGAGAGGTTCCACTGGAACATCGTGAACTATGTCTTTCGACAAGATCCCTTTCCACGCTTTTATGGTTGGGCTGCTCTGGTGAAGATGTTGCAAGATGGCCAGAGACTCCTTGCCAGTGCTGCACGTGTAGCTGCTGGGTTGGTCGGAGCCTTTGCTGCGCAGTCAATTCTGCTGTTCCTGACCAAGTTCTTACCGCTTTTGGATTGTTTGGTACAAGGACTCTCAGCTATTGAAGGCGCTCAGGATTTGTCCCAGAAGTTGCTGCAGGGTTTGGAGAGGCTGGAGGAGTGGCTGAAACCAATCCAGGATCGTGTCCAGGACTTTCACCATGTCGGCCAGGTTTTGTATGTTCAAGAGAGGGACGAAACAGCTTCGCCCAACGACTGGCTTTGTCGATTCCGCATTGGGGACATGAACATGTCGCACCACAGCATCAAGAACTACGTGCAAAGCATTGAGAAGCAAGGCACAGAGTTTCGCATTGAGCATGCTCAGCACCTTTACAGGCATGTTTCTTTACCCATGGATGATTCTTTACCCATGGACGAACTTCTTCGTGATGTGCGACAGGGAAATGTTGTGACTGCGACGGCCAGTGTGGCAACAGATACAGCGGAGGAGAGAACTCAAGTGGCTGAAGGTGCTGCCCTGTTGGCAGGCTTCACGCTCGAGGCAGGCTCCACGTCCATAGATGAGATCGAAACTACGCTCAAACATCAGCGTTCATCTACAAAGATGCGGCAGGAACTGCAACACCAATTCCTGGATGCTGCGAAATATGGAAATTTTGCGCAGATGTTCCACATGCTGGAAGTCACAGACAAAGATTTACAGAAGGAAGTGGCAAAAAGGCCATTGGGTGAGATTCGCGGTACGCAGATTCTTCCAACCCGTCGTTGGAGTGCTGCCATGCAAATGATCTATCAAAATGCAAGTCTGACAGACTTTCAGAAATTACTCAGATTTTATCCTGATACTGAAAGCATTTTGCAGATTGCCAAAGACTTGCCGGAGGTCCAGGAGATGATGGACTGTTCTGACGGCGATGACCGGGCCAAGAAGCGACGCTTGGGTCCTGGCGACAGAGCAACCATTGTCAACGTGCTGAAGTTGCTGACAGACATTAAGAAGCAGAAGAACGATTAAAGGGCCGTTGACCTGCGGAAGATGATTGATACTAGTAGCTTCTTTTTTTTGACTGAGCGAGCTTGTGGGGGTTTCAACTGAAAAGACGACAAGACAATTTTGACAGACAATTTTGACACAATAAAGCCTTTGGTTGTATGGAAAACATAGAGCAACAACTACACTTGAAGGCTTTGGCAACTTTGGTTTTCCGGTCGCATGAGGCTTTTGCATGATCTCACGCAGGTGGACGAGGCCATTGAAGCCACGGCACCGCCCGAACGGGACGCGGCCGAAGAGGAGCGGTCTCTTTTTTTTGTCACAAAAACAAGGAGAGTCCGAAGACCAAGAGCGAAAGACCTTTGACAGGTGGAAAAACTTCCTGGACATATGCTTTGCACTGGGTGGGACAGTTTGTTAAAAGCAATGGCTTGCAAAGGGCTGGGTGGACGGGGTGCCATGACAGTTGAGATCTTCTTACGGTTTCATGTTATGGGTACCTACCGGTAGGTCATTCTGATGATGCAGACCACACTGGGACAGACCGGACAGTCCAACCGGCCGAGTCAAGGAAGCAAGAGCCAAGAGATGAACTATGAAGAATGACTCAACAACGCACGTGGGTAACCACGCCCTTTGCTCCTAGTAGCGTCCTTGCTCCTAGTAGCGATGCCAGTAGCCCCTAGTAGCGTTCTTGTTCCTAGTAGCGATGCCCTTTGCTGCTAGTAGCTTCTTGTTCCTAGCAGTGTGTTAAAGATCGGGAGACCCGTGGAACCCCCTGAGTTTGACCCTTTTTTCAAAGTCAACATAGACCAAAACCCATTGGTTCGGAGGTCTCTCTATTCTGAAATATGTTCATACAAACCTACCAAGTTTAGATTGCTTGTCAGAAATTCATGGCAGATGGACTATGATCTATTGTCACAATGACACGTGTGTGTCGCAGTCCACAGCATCACTGACCTAGAGGGACGAAGATCTGACGCCATGCATGGCATTTGAGCGATTCGTCGCCGCGAGCAAAGCTGGAGACAAGAAGGAGGGGGTCGTAGGCTTGCTTTGAGGTACTTTTGGGTGTGCTCCGTGGGGTTTCGCACATCCGGCAGGGGAAAGAGAGAGTGACTCAAGATACTCTAGCCAGAAGCAGACCCAACGAGATCTTCAACAGTGAATGGGTCTATGTCAGTCCCTTTTCTTCCTCTAACTACTATTTTTGCCACACATTGCCGCCAGACGTGCACCTACTTCCTTTTCAAAGGATTGATTTGTCAAACTTATGTCAAACTTATATAAAAATCGATGCAGTTGGTTTGGAAAAGAATTGAACCTTTCAAGGAAGATGACAAATTAAAGCAAGACCTGCTCTCTGGCAGTTGGGAGCTGAGTAATTTTTAGGCCTAAGAGGTGAATCTATGATTGACATCCACCATTTCTTGACCATATAGAATGCAGGCTCCACTTGGGATTCGCTTGGGACTTGTTCAAGTTCATGCCATTCACTACGCCACCAGACCTTCAATCATTCCAATCCTTCGTCCGATCCTCTTAGGTTGGGAGGCCTTGGGCGAGCCGACCCGCAGCTTCCGGGAACGCCATGGCTTTCCGGCCACCTTGGCCTGGGTGCGGGGCCCGGGGTCGTCTGGGCAGGTTTTGACGCAGATTCTTTGGTGTTCGATCGGGTATGAGATGTGAGGGCAAAATGACAGCTGAGTGTTTGAGTTGGCGAAGACACAGGTTCTGGAGTAGTGACTAGGTGACTAGATCAGCACATCAAGACCGACCTCACAAGAACAAGAAGTTATATATTTACGGTATATTTATGTGTTTTTTTTGGTAGTTGGCTATTCTAATATGATGTTGCAAGAGGTTTTCTCTTCCAAGGCACTCCTGCAGCTGAATTTTCCATCATTCCCATCAAGGCTGCACTTGGGGTCCGAGTTTGGGTCTTATTGAATGCTTCCAGCGTCAGGGATGCGTGATGCAGCGTTCCTTTCCAGTAGCAGAGCAAAGAGAGCGCTATTTCGCCTTATGCCAATTTCATGCACCAACGGGACACCCGACTTTGGACCAAGCTTAAGACTCCCTTATTGCCCTGGATGCAACCGCAAAGGACCAAAGTTGCGCTTCCGAAGGTAGGCTGCAATGATTTTGGTCAGAGGTTTGAGATGGGCTTGATGTGGGAGAATTCAGCACGGCCTAACCTAGCCTTGGCTGTGCCACTCCCGGACTCGAAACTTGTCGTGCTTATGCGGATCGTTGACCATCCATGCTTTGGCATCTTGTACTTTGATGCGCAGCTGTAAATGACCCACGCAGCTGTCGAAATGCCACGGCAAGGCGTGTAGACCTTTGGGTCCTGGGTGCTCGCACGGGCATGGAAGGATGGCTGGCGGAGGACGGAAAGTGGAGGATGGGGATCCAAAGCCAGTCAGTGGTATGCACCGGAGTTAAATCTCACTTGACTGGGAATGCCTAAGTGACAGATTGCATCCTAGAAGGAACAGCGAAAAAACAAACGCATTGCCTGAGATTCAGTATCATCTGTCCTTTCTCTCCGATTGCTGATTCAGCATAGCACATTTTTGTTTTGGTTTGCTTGGGTGCCTTGACACAGAGCACCGCAGCTTGCAACAACTCGACCGAGACCCCATGCGGAGGTGCTTCCACAATCACAGACCTTACACAGATCTTTGATTCTTTGATCTTTAAGAACTTTGTAACTGGTGCCCGGGGGCTTCGACCGTCGAATTTCAGGGGAGGAATGGAACTGACGGTGAAAAGCGTGTCTCTCACCTCGTGACCTCAGGAAGGCTTATGGGATTTCCTGGCGAAGGTCGAGGTCTCAGAACTTCCAAACGGGTCCACGGCTTGGAGACTGCCTACTTTGCTAACAAGCCCAGTCTTTCCGAGTCTTCAACGATCCATCCAACGAGTGTTTCAGTTTGGAAGAAAAAAGTGACAAACATAACACCGACTAGCTGAATTTCGAAAGCCCATCAGTCCCCTTCAGAGAAGCAAGCTCTCGGCCCTTCGCGTGAGGTTTTCCCACGTCTCGAATGGAGAATTCGACTAATTGGGCCAGAGATGCAGGATGGAGTCTACAGGCAGGCACTAATTCCTGTGAGTTCGTCCGCAAGTTTTGACGCTATTAGTAGTAAGGTGCCTTGTTACCATTTTATTATAGGGGCTGGGTAGGCCGCTGGAGGTAGCTAGTAGTAGCTAGTTAGTTAGGGGTAGGTAGCTAGTAAGGGACAAGCTAGTAGCTTAAATAGCTGCTACTTAGGACGCAGTATAGCTCACGCTTCTTGAAGGAAGCTTCCTCGAAGAAGCGCTCGCACTAATGATTTGGTTCCTAGATTTTTAGGGAAAACGTAATTTACTAGTAAGGTGCCTTATTACTAGTAGCTTCTTGTTACTAGTGGTAATGCCAGGAGCTACTAGTAGCGTCCTTGCTACTGGTGTAGCCAAGAGGTTAGGATGCTGTGATTTGTGGAGGTCAACTCTGGTGGAAGTGGAAGGAGTGCGGCTTAAGGACCGGGAGATTGGCAGCGTAGTATAGTGCACACCCAGCTTTGACTTGTGACCCACAAATGTGAGTGCAGACTTCTTTGGGTTTTAACAACAGGGGTCTTTCTGCTTTCGCTTTGCATTTTGCAACTCATGAGTAGGCGCTAGGCCCGCTAGGCTGCAGGCCAGTCCACATTGTGTGGCAACAAGACACCTTCTTCATCCTTCTTCCTGGCATGCAAAGCATCTCCGCAACGTAGTAACTCCGACCATGAAACATTTGCAGCAGCTACGATTGAAGGTGATGGCCTGCTCGCTTGCACAACCGCATCGGCCGCCTATCACCCATCGCCCCCCCCCCCCACGCCACTAGCAACTTGAACAACTTGAAGGACTTTGAATCAACACGTGAACGCTGAATTCCTTCTGAACCTGACCGACATTGTTTGGGCAGAGAGAGGGCGAGGGAGGGAGGGAGGGATGGAGGGAGGGAGAGAGAGAGAGAGAGAGATAACAAGAGAGAAGTATTTTTTTTGATAGACGCATGGCTGGTTTCAGGGCCATGAGTGGATGATGCAGTCTCCCGCGCAGCCGGATTTGGTGGTTTGGGTCCAAGCTAGGATGGGAGTGTTCAGCAAAGAAGGACACAGTCACAAAGCTGCAAAGTCTCATCAGACTCCCTATGGAGGAAAACATTGTCCACACAAACATGATGCCACAATATCTTGAAGATCATCTTGGCGCCATTCAGTGTGATCATGCGCCATCGACTTTCGAGCTGGAGGTCTGCTTCAACTCGGGCATTGGCACACTCTCCTTGTCCATTACCAAGCCTTGGTTGCCGACCGTCGCAGCTCTTTTGAAGCTAGGCGCGAAGAAGCAACCAGATGCCAAAACATCTGCCAAACTGCGCGCAGAAAGTTGTTTTGGAAAATAGCTAGTCAGTCCTGTGGCCGGCAGAGAAGGTTTGAAAAGGTCAATGATGACCCACAAGACTATCCAACGACTCTGGATGTTGGAAGTAAATTGAGCTTGCCACAGTGCCACCACATGCTTCACAGCCTGGATGTTGGTCCATGTTGGAGCACCAAAAAGCATCGTGGCGTGCAGATGCCCCGGTGCTTTTCACCAGCTTCGGCGCAAAGGAGTGGATGTGTTCGCCGCTCTGACTCCGTGCATCGAAAAGGGGTGATTTGTTGGCAAAGCATTGAGAGAACAAACTTGTTTTGGCTTGTAATTCTCTGACATAGACACAGCAGCATGAAACAAATAGCAGCTTATACAGAAGCTAATTAGAAGAAACAACGGATTTTTGTGTTCTTCTGTTCACAGCAGATTGAGGCTCCTTGAATTTGGACAAACTATATACTCGTTTGAGAATGTCACGCATGGGCGTAAAATACATGCGACTTGTTCTTCACTGCAAGGAGCGGAAGGGCGAGGACTGCGCTCAGTGAAGGGGTGCTTGGTGAATCAGAAAGGTTTGAGCGGGATTGGGAAGCAATTTTTCTCCGTACTGCTCCTGTTGATCAGGATTTTCTCCTCAGAGGACTCTTCAAGGCTGGGGTTGGGTCGAAAACATTTGAAAACCATGGTCTGGGTTGAACAGCCTTTGGACACTCTCAGCGCGCGTCACGTCAAAAAAGATGTTGGGAAATGTACAGAAATGTATGGTAGTTTTACGATTGATGATTTATACTTTCCACTTGTTTGGAGTACAGTAACATGTCGGCTGCTCCCCGTGGGAGGCCGGTGTTCTGGTGGACTTTTTGGAGAATCCTTTCCGGCAGAGGCACAGCCGTTCGAGTCCGGCTTTGCCGTTCGTTCGAGTCGTGGTTTCGCAGGCCCGAGGATCGCCCGGGCTGCTATCGCTCTTTAGAGGCCTGGTGTTGTGGGAACATGGGTAAACATATATAATTACATATTACAATGGTACAGACGACGAACAGATTCAAACTGCCGGAGCAAACTGAACTGATGAAAGAACAGTGGCAGGATGAGCTTCTGGCGGACGCCCGAGGGGCCGAAGGGGCCCAAGGGGCCGAAGGCAGGGACTTGCATGGGAATCTTTACTCATAGCCTGTGGATTCCGTCACCTGAGTTCCATGGGATTCCATGGACGTACGAATTTAGGTCAACATCTAAGTGGGGGGGAGACTTGCTGAAACATGCTGAAACCTATTTCGAGACCGACTATGACGGACTTGTAGATCTGACCTTTTGGACTACTGACCCCTCAAAAACGGAACACTATATAATATACATCAGCTCGGTCTGTTTTGAATCAGCAGACTGCATCGAGGTGAGGGAGTGAACCTCTGCAATGCACAAGTCTGGTGGGCTCGAGGCCGGCCGTCGGAGTGCTTGGTCGCTGATGAGGCGGTCACCCCCTAAAATTACATAGAATTTCCGCTACTTACCAGCGTATACTTATACCCATAGAATAGGTCATGCGTCATTAGCATGTTTCCTCCTGTTCCCATCCGCCCATCCACCAATCTCGAAGCATCGAGGATCCGAGTTGCCCGAGGAGGAGCTTCTGAAGGTGGGGAAGTGGCTTCCGATCTCTAGTAGCAAGGACGCTATTAGTAGCTCCTGGCATTGCTACTAGTAACAAGAAGCTACTAGGAACAAAGGGCATCGCTACTAGTAGCAAGGACGCTACTAGTAGCCGATCCTTCAGCCGAGCCATGTCCGCCGGAAGATGCTTTGTCATGGTGTCCCATGTTGTCTCATGCTGCCCAACAACTGCCAGTGTTGTTCTTGTGTTGTTCTGCAACTGCCATGTTATCTCATGTTGTTTCATGTTCTAAGAACAAAACCAACAGAGTCGCCAGCTAATACCTGGTGGACGACCTGGACCAGCGTCGCAGAGCAGGTGGCACTGAAGGCTCCGAAGGTCTTGGAGGAGCTCACGCAGAACTATGCCCTGCAGGTTACATAACTTGGGATGGACTGGCATAGCAAAGGTCTCGAGTCTCGAGAGATGTAAAATAAGAAATTTAAAACACACTCGATCTAACAGCAACATAGTGAACAATCTGCAGAAATCCTGAATCGAAACATGGATTCGCCCCAACACCCCCACAGAGACTGAATGACATAGGGTGTAGTCAAGCTTGAAGAAATAGATTCAGATGTACGGTATCGATATTGAGTTTATTTAATGCAAGGCCATCGATCATCTGAGAAACTTCATTCCGTGCCGCAAGGCACAAGAAGCTACTAGGAGCAAGGGCATCACTACTAGGAGCAAGGGCATCACTACTAGGAGCAAGGACGCTACTAGAAGCTCCTGGCCATACTACTAGTAGCAAGAAGCTACTCAAATCCACCGCTGAAAGCCGCCGAATTGCAGCAGTACAACTATACTTCGCCTTTCAGGTCTGGGCACTAGCCACAGAAACCATGCACAGCTTATTGTCTTTCGCAAAGTCATTCTATCGTGGACCATCCGTTTTATTTTCTTGTACAATGCGATCTCAGGGCGCCTACAAGAGTTGGATCGTGGCCCTCACCAAGGGAAACCGAAGAGTAGGCGAATCAGCCTGGGCCCCTAGCCCTCGGAGTGCTGAGTGGAGAGACCTGCAAGACCACCAAATCACCTGGTGTGAAACGCCTGGTTTGCACAGGAAACGGCGAACACAAATCACGAAAGGTAGCCCTTTAGGGGATACCTTGAGTTTGTCTTGCGAAGCAAGTGTTGGGACGTCCGGGTCGAATAATTGATCGCTCAATTCAGACCCCCCCTCGAATTGATTTCTCAATACGGACCCCCCCGCCCCGCCCCCTTGGAATTGATTTTTCAATACAGACCCCCCCCCCTCTAAATTCAATTCTCTCCTGGAGAACGTCTTCGTGAGCCTCTCATGATTTCAGGATAGTTGAAACCCTCTTGAACATTCAGAAAGAGTGCATATGAAATTCTAATCACGAAAGGTGTTCCCCGAGGGGATACATACCTAGAGTTTGTTTTGTGAAGCACGTCAATTCTCTCCTGGGGAGCGTCTTCGTGAGCCTCTTATGGTTTCAGGATAGTTCAAATCCTATGGTGCTCCGATTCAATGCTCACCGATGATCTGAGCCATGGGGCAAGTTTGTTTTCCTAAGAATCTTTTTGAACATTTCGAGAGCATATGTTTGAACATTTAGAGTGCATATGAACATATATTTACAAAAGGTCGCCTCCGAGGGGATAAACCACCATGTCGAACATTGCATTTTTGTTCCTGCCTCTCGCGTTCTCTTCTCTTCCCGCTGTCCTACCTTTCGTGTCTCCCTCCTCTCAAGTGAACAAAACATATATAACACCAGGATCTCTGGAAGTTAATATCTCTGGACCAGATGGGGATCTCAATATTGTCTTGCCAACATAATTATGATAACGATACCTCTAGTCTTTGCTGTTTGCATGTGTTGGCTTGCCTTTCTCCAAGACATGGCACAATAGCCGGACACAACAATCAGAAAGGATTCCGGGAAAACACATGGATTTAAAGCCATACTAGTACAAAAACACGATCCCAAACAATATCCCGATTGTAGGTTTGGATGCCTCCGCAAACCAGTTGCCAGTTGCCCACTGACATGACGACTTCCGATTGTGGGAGCTTGCAATTTATCGTGTTTCCTTTCCGCTCTACTTGCCGAACCATTTTGACCCAACTAAGTAGGAGTATTCCCATTGAGAAGCAGCTCTGAGTGATTGCTTCAGATCCCACTGCACATCTTAGCACTTGTGAAATGGACAGTTTGTTTACTTTATATACATGTAGACGACACCTCCCAAAGAAATGTTAACTTCCACCCAGGGGCCCCCGAGTTTCCCGTTTGCTCATATGGATCACGTGTTTGGCGATGAACATAAGATAGGTGACTTATTGGCCATGTGCCCTCCTCCCCTTTGAAGAAGCTGGAAAGGGGCCAGAGTATGATGATGTATCATGAACATTGGGCACTTCAACAACAGTGTAACATCCAGATTGGTCAACAGAAGATGTGTTCCGACTACGAGCCCGCCATATGCGTTTTCATTCCCATGTGCACACTTAGCCCTCTATAACACAGATGGAAAGGTCCAAACATGCTAAGTAAGAACAAAGAAAGAATCAACTACTTAGTTGTAAAATATCCCAAATGCTCTGAGATATGATATATGGCTTCCTCAAGGCTGAAAGACGGGAACAGACAGCCTTGCTTCCCTGTTTGTGAGTTAGGCCTTGGAGAATTTCGAGGCAGCCTTCAAACATGCTGATGTCCTGAGGCCACTTGCTCTGGCATGGAAAAGGAACATGTAAAACTGTAAAACGCATTGAAATTACGTCAACTTGACTAAGAAAGCATCGCATTGGGCTTCAGGATGGAAGCCTCTAGGCGACCCAATTGCTTCTTTGATATGTTTGTTAAGTACCAATTACTTTTTGATACTATTTGCGTGTCCGTTATTTTTTTGCGGGGCTAGTTTCTAGCAGTCAGAGAAGTGGTCAGGACTTGGCCAGACATGGACTTATCTAATTTGAAGCTCGACAAAGAGGAACACCACACAACATGCAGTCGCTCGCTCGCTCGATCCTGGAGTCTTTAGCCACACGAAGCTCAGAAAGCCGCAGAAACGCGGCACGGGACGCGTGGTCCTGACAAGGGCGCTGGCGAAGCTGGGGAAGCGGATTGCAGAGGCGATGGCAGCGTTTGTCCGGAGGCACGGAGAAGCAGCGTTTCTGTGCAGGTTTGAATCATTCTTCGTTTCTTCACGCATTGTTCCCCCCAGGAGTCAGCATGGGCATTCGGGCGTCCCATCTCACGAACCCACAAATTTTGTTTTCGAAGTTTGGACTTTCCTTTAGTGGAAGGTGCGCGCGCACACACACACACTCGCACACACACACACACACTCGCACACACACACACACATGGTGTTGACAAAGTGACTCAAATGGTGAGCAAGTGGTCAGCACTTGGGTGCTCGTACAGGCATGGCCCTCACCCG